TTCATAACCAACCCTACCGTGCGGCCGCACTGTAACTCGTCTCTCGCTTTGCCCTCTGTGGCCACTCCAATTCTCCTCACAAAATATTGTGCGTGCGCTCGTTCGAACCAGTTCGACGAGCTCTACTCAGTGCTTCCCAACTCTTGGATCTAACCGGTGGGGATTATACTCTTTCTCCAGTTCCCAGTTTTCGGCATATTCTTTGCCGAATTTCACTTGTGTAACTACATCAGACCGGTCTTTCGGAAAAGATTTTGGTCTCATTCGGAAGAAGAAGCTGAGGGCTCCCAAACTACGCGGCAACCATCCCTGCAAGTTGCGGCATAACAAAGTTAGAGCCTTTTTGCTCCGCTCATCAACTGAGCAGCTCTCAGGAAGCTTATCAGCGCTCCACCTGCATCGTCGCTTAAGGCAGGCCGATTAACACACGCTGCCGCTTTGTTTGTGTGTGTACCACTGCAAGTCTATTGATCGCTGAATCCGACAGTCTGCGCGTTACGACCCCCATCTGCCCCTACGCCTGACCTTGGTGCGGTCGAACAACTCTCAGTTCGTGTGCGTGTTCTGACCTATTCGTGCGTCACCCCTAGCGCAAAATACACTCACCAAGGCTTTGTTGTAAACAAGAGGACAACTAGCATTCCTATGGTTCAGCGTCGTCTATGTTGTGCAGACAACTGCATTAAAGTCCTTAAGATCAGTATCACCTGTTCCAGCTGCATTAAATCGTACTGCCCGCAATGTGCAGGCAAATCTGTCCAAGAAGTGAGACAGACAAACCAAGTTGCTGACACAATTTGGTTTTGCCCATCATGTCAAGTGATTCCAGTTGTCAACTGTTTATCATTGCTAATGAAAAAATGCGATAGGATGACTGAAATAATCGCACAATTTGTAAATACTAAGGTCGCTCCCTCGGAGGTAAATATGGCCACGATAATACCTCACCCGGTCAAAGTTAGTTCTGCGTCTAAACCGAAGAAAAGAGCTAGACGATCCAACCGCACTGCAGCCTCTGTGACTCTAAACCCACTGGGTCACCTCACTCCCATCAGTGGGCAAGCCTCAAACATGCCTGCGTCCACTTCTCCAACCATAGCCCCTTCACTTGGAGATTAAACCATGACACCGATAGCGCACAGCCGAAGGAAATCGGGGGCAGAGTAGAAACAGGTAACGTACGCATCGATTGCATCCACAAACACAGCGGGAGCGACACAAACAAGTTCATCTTCAGTACCGAGCACGCGTGGCCCAAAGCAGCTTTCACCGTCAAGTCCAGTGGTGCCCTCTAAACAACCAGAAGTGCCGGCAAAAAGTATAAAGCCAACACTTGCTAGACAAAACAACGCAGCGCTAACTCTCGTGTGCACCAATTTTCCCGAATCCAAATCTGGCACAATAAAAGGCAAGTTGCAAGACGATCGCAACCAGTGGAGTTCCATCTGCGAGGCGATTGGTATTCGGGTTGAGCCTGCAATGCTGCAACGCGTAGCACGTCACCCGACCTCAGTGCACTCTGGTGAACCTCGAATTCTTCGAGTATCTCTAAACTCAGCAGATGAGACAGAGGCTGTCTTGCTCTCAGCAGTTCGTCTTCGCAACTCACCGAGCGGAGTGCGCATATTACCTGAGCTACCTTGGAAAGACCGCACAAAAGAAGCAGTGGAGCAACGCGGTATTGCTACTAGGGATAGCAAGAAAACAATATTTGTTCATGGTGTTCCCGAGCTCCTGCATGCTTTTGATCACGATGCACATACACATGACCGAGAACAGTGGTGCTACATCCGCGAAGCACTCTGTGTTAACAATGTTATTGCCAAATCCCTAACAAGAGTTCCGTTGTCACCTAACTACAAGGGCTGCGGTCCTAGGCTAATGAAGGTAATACTACACTCTGAGGGAATGACGCAAGTTCTGTTGGATAGCTGGTTAAGTTTCCGAGCTAGGTTGCCAACAGAAATACGGCTAAAGGCAGCAGGCGAACGACCAAAAGTCGGAAGAAATTCGATGGAACTTGCAAATCCTGCAAATTCTTTATTTGCACAGTCCTTCGGAGAGATCGACACAACAGCGCCCACGTCACACAGGAGGACCGAGCACAGCACGAGTGAACCATCAGTTCAGGAACGCTCAATAATGTCATGTAACACGACTGAAATACACAAACCAAAAAACGATTAATTGCCGGCCACCTAACGGCCGGCTTAAAAGCGAACACAAACTTGACATCCACCAATGAACTCCTAACCACAAAAGCCCTATCTTGCATGTACACAAACGCTCAAGGCCTTCGAAGCAAGTTGGCCGAACTTAGAGAACTCCATGCCTCACAACCACGAGACCTCGTCATGATTACAGAGACATGGTTAAACCCTGAGATAACCGACTGTGAGATCAAGTTACCCGGTATGTCGCTGCTTCGGACCGATAGAACCGGAATGGGTGGCGGTGTGATTCTTTACTATAATACAAGCCTCCGATGTGAAGTTATCGATCACCCAGAAATCCGAGCTCCCGATTCGCTTTGGTGCCGCCTTTGGTTGCGAAACAAGGACACATGTCTACTAGCCGTGGTTTATCGCCCGCCAAACTCAACGTCGGAAATGGACTCCAAACTGTACCACGTTTTTCAGTTTGCTTTGAACAAGTCCTACACCCACATTCTTATCGCGGGAGACTTTAACGTGCACGACTTAGAAACGCCGGCAACTGACGGTACGCAGTTTAAAGCCTGTTTGCAAGAACTTATTGCTATCCACCCTCTTTACAACCACGTAACCTCTCCCACCAGATTTCGAACTTCTAACAAGCCGTCGATACTAGATCTTGTGCTAACTAACGAAGAACTCATGGTTGGCGGGATAGTTACAAGCACACCACTGGGTCGTAGTGATCATGTCACTCTACTCTTTGATTATATATGCTATGCCGAGTACCCGGAAAAGGAGGAGGATAAAGTGCACACTGTCACGCACTACAATGTGTTGTCCAAGCTTGTTAAGGATACATCTTGGACTTTCTTATTCGAATGCCCCCCAGCTTTGGCCTGGGATATGTTTACAAGGACTTTGAGCACACTGGTAGCGCAAGCATCGGAACAGAAGTCCTTCCAACCCAAAAACCAGAGTAAGTCAATTCTGAGGAGCAGAACACGTAAATGTATGTCCCGGAGGGATTTGGCATGGCGAAATCACCAGGGTTGCCCGAATGCCGAAACCTGGACTGCATACGTGACACATCGTAACTTCTGTGTGAAACTGATCCGCGAGGACAAGGTCACGCATCAGCAGAAGTTAATGAAGCGATTCTGCACTAACCACAAACTCCTGTATAGGCACATTAACGGCCTTCGAAAGGTAAAGCGAGGGGTTCCGGCGCTAGTCACAGCTGATGGATACACGCGGTCAGCAATGGAAGCAGCTGATCTCCTACGGCTTCATTACTCTCAAACGTTCCAACAAGTGTCGAGCCCAAACATTCACCTCATTTCTAATACTCCGCCGTTTGGTTTAGAAAACATCACCTTCACTACGGAGGCTGTGTTGAAGAAATTGTTATCCTTGCGTATCCACAGTTCTCCCGGAGCTGATAACATCCGTCCAAAGGCTCTACAGGCAGTAGCTAGTGATCTAGCAGAACCACTGGCTGTTTTCTATCAGCGATGTC